TTTTTTTTTTTTATGTCAGGATTTCAAAACGGCAGCATTAATTTGAAATTTTGAAAAAAATTTTAGCATTATAAATGTCTTTACTGTTTGTCTTTACTTTTACTTTACTGTCAGTTTAATGCATCCTTGCTGAATAAAAATATTAATTTCTTTAAAAATAAATAAAATAAGATAAATGAATAAATAATAATAATAATAATAATAATTTTTAAAAAACTAAGCCAGAACTTTTGAACTGTAGTATAGGTATTGCACCTTTTGAATGAAACATTGAGTGCTTCTTTGGAAATATTTATACATTGATTAATGTAATCCTTTAAATCATTTAAAAAGATTATTTAGAAAAAAAAAGAAGCTGTTTTAATATGCTTGACTCAAAGATGTATATTGTGTATTGTGCAGTGAAGAGGATGTGGAGGACATCAGAGGATTCCCCAGAGAGAAGCTGATCGCTCTGTGTAAATATGAACCAATCAAACAGTGGATGAGGAGCTGTGATCACATCCTGTATCAGGCACTGGTGGAGATCCTCATCCCTGATGTACTGCGGCCTGTTCCCAGTTAGTATTTATACATATACACACACTTACTGTGACCTGTTCCAGGGGCAGTGTTGCTGCTGTACTGTAAGCAGAATGCTTGAGTGCATGACTGATGGGAAATATGATCCTGCAGGCACCCTCACTCAAGCTCTCAGAAACTTCGCTAAGAGTCTGGAGGGGTGGCTGACCTCAGCCATGAGTGACTACCCACAGGAGATTGTCCGCACTAAGGTATGTGTGTGTTTCTGAAAGGATACATTTGCTGAAAAGTGTTCTCCAAATCAGACACAATTCTAGGAAAGCAGAAGTTATAAAAAAAAAAAAAATTTCAGAAAAATTGAAAAGAATTAAAAATTGTTGAAAATGTAATTAAAAATGTATATTTTTTTCAGTATCTTGTTTTTATAAAATGAAAATGTTTTTCTAAAATTCTATGATAATTATATTCCATATATATAATTATCATAGAATTTAGTCTGCTAAATGACTAAATAAATAAATAAATATATGCTTTTTTTCCCCCAAATAATGTGAATTAAGCAATACGGTAAAAACTGTAATACTGTTAAACATTTTTTAAATAAAAATACAAATTGAAAAACAAACAAATAAATAAATGAATAAATGAATGAATGCATTATAAATAAGCCACTGATGATTCAAACGCGAGTTTTGGGCAGTGTGGATTAACGTTAGCACTTGTTGTTTGTCATTTCTCTGATCACAAATGCAGACATGGTTTTATGTTTACGCGGCGCGATGCAACGCAACGCAACGCGTAAAAAGACAGTATAAGTCATTATAATCAGTAATTATGTCCCCACTGGATGCAACAAATGCTTCGTTTGTAATGGGTTTTAATGTTTTTGTCTCGCCGCTCCGGCCGGGACACGGCATCGACAGTATGGTGAGGGGCGTAACATTTCCGTCACATGCTTGATGTATTCGGCCAATCACAACGCACTGGATAGTTGGCCAATCAGAGCACACCTCGCTTTTCAGACCGATGAGCTTTGTAAAAATCGACGCGTTTCAAAAAGGCGGGGCATAGAGGAGAAACAATAATGTACAGTATGTGGAAAATAATGTGTTTTTTTAACTTTAAACCGCATAAACACATTTCATTACACCAAATACACAAAATAATGTTCTTTTTAGCAGCATCATATGACCCCTTTAAATTATGATTTAATATCTATATTGTTATTATTGTGTTGTTATTATATTATTATATCTATCTATTTACACATTAATAATTAATGTGAGATTAGCATATACACTCTCTCTATATATATAATCTTTATTAATTATTATTATTATATAATTAATTAAAAAAATTCTGCTCACAAGTGATATTTACCTTACACTTTTGTCTTTCTGGTTAAGAAGTACACTAACATTTGTTAGTGGTAAAATTGTTGGTTGTGGTGGAAATGATTTGTGTAAACAAATAATTTTCAAACAATATTGAATTGATTTTAATTTTTGTTCAGTATTTACAGTTAAGTTTCTAAAATGTAATTAAATATGAAAATCCAGCATAAAAATATGAGGTGTGGTTTTTTAATTTGTTGTCGCCTTTACATTTCCAGTTCAGTGACCTCAGTTCCATGATGCCATCACTCATGGAGAAAGGTAAGGAATGTGATGCCAACCCAAACTAAGTTTCTGTCTCATTTCGAAGGTTCCTCTGCTCTGTAGCCAACCTCCTTCTCTCTTTTCTTCTCCCAGATGCCTCATTCTCAGACGATCTGGCCAGCGACGGAGACATGTCGAGCATGAGCGAGCCGGCGGTGAAGAGCGAGCGAATCGAGATCAGTCCCTCCCTGCAGGAGATCTAAGAGCAGGACCACCTCAAACGGCTGCCGGTGGCCAAGAGAACACTTATCTGTGAGGTTATTCTGTATCTTGAGGGTACGTAGGTCTGTTTCGGGTCAGTGTGTCTCCCTCCAGCCTTTAGGTTTTCTGCGACTGTGAAACAAGAACGTGCTGGTTTTGTGATGTTTTTTTTTCATGTGCCATAGTCTTCTTTCAGTGCCTTAGATGAGAAAAGAAACACTAGAGCAGAACTGTCTCTCTTTCTCTTTGATTTTCTCTCGTTCTGTCGTTCCCTCGGCCGTGCCTCTAACCACAGAATGAATGTATCGTCTCAGAACCTCAGATGTCTAAAGCACCTTTTAAAGATGGTCACATTTTAGACTTTCTGCCTCGGCCGTTTCCTCAGGCGTAGATGCAACCTGCTGGCCCCAAAGCTGCCCGCTCGTCGACCCCAACCTGCTGCACATGCAAAGCCGTTTTGTAGATAAACCCCGGCCATATGAGATGCCTAGTCTATACCTCAACAGTTTTTAGTTCTAACGAATGAATGTCTGACTTTTATTACGTTTTATAAAAATCACTATAAGAGATTATTCGCCTGGGTTTGTTGCCCTGAAAGCGGCCCGTTCTCGTCCGAAAGCTTCGGGATGTACATACACCTACTGTATTGAAGGAGATTGCTCCGTTTTAGATGAACCCATCAAAACTGGTTTGTGAAACTTTTTGGTCTAGTTTTGTAGTTACTTGACGAGTTCTTAGTTGTTTGCAGTGGTTAAAAAGAGCTTAGTTGACTTGATATATTGAACGTACCTGTGTGTGAGCGTGCGTCTGTACACAAGGCCTTCTAAAGTAACTGGAAGTGAGTGTGCACTCAACAGGTTATGTGAATAGTTCTTGTCGTTTTTATTCAAAACGAACATACAAGCTTTTTTTTATTTTTAAAGAACGCTTAAAAGAACTCCCTTTACATATTTAAGTAGATATTGTGTAAATGTTAATGCAAAAAATGTAAAAGCGACATTTTCTAGAAGAAGTAGAAAACCCAAAATAGACACGTTTAGTAACAGAATATGCAGCTTCTTACAGATCCGCCTCATCACCTGGTGCTGTACACGCTTGTAATGGAAACGATGTGCTGACATAAAGCTGGAAATTCTTTCGTTTTCAGGATCCGGTTGTAATTGTTTTTGACGATGTTGTGCTGAAGCCGGTCGGGATCTTTACTGGTGCCTGGTAGCGGCCCGTAATGGGTCCCTACATGTCCCTCTCTGCTATTTACAAAGATAAACTTCATTTCTGCTAGCTTTGTGTTTGTTCTGAGAAGTGATTGGCGGATGTGTTCTCACTGTGGTTGGTTGTGACTTTAACGCCTGTCATGGTTCTTTGCCTGTTGTGTGCTTTTGGGAAGGGAATTTGCTCATCAATTTTTTTTAAGGCTGTTTTAAAGCTTCTTGCTATGGATTATTTTTATGGAGGTAAATGCAATTCTTCTCACTACTATATCGATACCTTATTTTTGTGTCTTTAAAAAAATTCTTTATTTAACCTCAACCGCTTAGTTCGACTGTATTTTGTACTGGTAAAAAGTGTAATAAATTTGTGTAAACCACTTGCTTGTTGTGTAATGACTGACACAAATAGACTCCTTTTCCATATTAAACCTTTCTTGAATACTCCACATACATACATTCTGTAAATATCAGAACTTTATATCCATTATATATCTTCATACTTACTCCTTCACGGATTTGCACTAAAAATGAGAAGAAATGTACATCCAGTTCTTCAAACTTGAAATAAACGTGTGGCTTGCGCACTGAACAAACAATTCTATACAAATAAAAGTAGAGGCTGGTTGTGGTCCCTAATTCCAGGGCATACTTGTCCTAGAGCAATGCATCATGGGTATTAGCGATTTCTCACACTGTATTTACAATATGATCTCTCCTCTTCAGGCCTGTAGCATGTGGACAGTTCCAGCAGCCCAGGGGGGTTCAAAAGTGCAAACGTTGTGCCTCTGGTAGTGAAGCAGTCACCATCACTGCTCACAAAGAACATGCAGCCATGTATTTTCCTGTAAAATAATACAGATGAACATTAGTGCTATGTGTGGCATCATGCTGTTATTATATCTGTCTTGCGTTACTATTTCAAGAAAACACAGCAAAAATGGGTCAGTTTTAAAATATCTAAACGTCATAACATTAATATCAAACTCATTTGTTAAGAGTTGTTTTCATAGATTAAAAAGCAAATATCATACCTTTAGCCAAGTTTTATATAGCATAAATTTATTTAGATATATTTTTATAGGTTTTTTTTTTTTATATAGAAAAGCAGTGATGGTCATGACTAGAAAACAATTTTATTACTTGAAATAAAATAAATGTTAACTAAAATAATAAACGTATTCATTATACACACACACACACTTCAGCTAGAAACATTTTCATTTTCATTTAGTTTAACTTGATGTACTAGAATACCTAAAACTGAAATAAAAATAAATACCATTTAGACACAAACTACAAAAAATTACTTTCAAATTAAAATGAAAACTGAAAAAGTACAAATAAAAACCGATTGAAAATAAAAACGAATAGTATCTCAATGATACTAAATTGACACAATTAGGTTAATGTCAAGCTGAACAGTCGTATTTCAAAAATAGATCAATTTTATCAGAAACATATAATCCTCTTCCTGCTGATTTTTTTTGCAATTTACACTTGAATGGCTAAATATTTACATTTATGCATTTTACAGATGCTTTTATTCAAAGTGACACTGCATTCAAAACATATTTTATAAGTTCATGCATTCACTGGGACATGAAACGTACCGTTTGAGGTACGGGGAAAAAAACATGTTCTGTACGTACGTTATGCCATAAAATACATTTTAGAAAAGCTTAGCTTGTTGTGCTACGGTGGCACTAACATGGACAAATAAAATAACAAACTTCAAACTGCAGGAGGGAGCGAAACCATATCTTTACTAGGATATCATAGAAACTTTTTTTGAATTAGACTAGAAAGCAACCATCTACAGAACATCCTAGCAACCACCTGACAACAAGATATGCGACTGAAGAAACACTTCTGAAATGAGCTGCTTATGAGGGACAAAAAGTAGGTCTGGCCCCCACCTGTGGCAAACCTCTTCTTCACCAGCGACATGCGGTAGCGGCTGGCCACCAGCTCCACGTCCAGGCCTGAGAGAGACGCCCCCGATCCCACAAACTGCACAGCCAGGCTCGGGGGAGGACCGCGGGGCACCTCCAGGCACTGCCAACTGGCGCACAGCGTGCCAGACCCTGAGACCCAGAAACACACACACACACACACACACATTCACAGAGTCAGCATCAGCTCCTGGGTTCACGTCACATATGTGCAAGAGCCTTTTGCAATAAAAGAGCATCTTAGAATATCCTAATGGTGGCCATATTTTAATAAATATGTTGCTTCCAAAATGTTCACAGCACTCTCATGATGCGCTGTCTGATCATATGTATTCATACGTTTGTTTCTTGGCCTCTAGCTCTGAGCAGCCTCCCTTCCGCCCACTTCCGCTGAAAGTGTCAGAACAGTGATCTAAACTCAGATGTACCAACGCTAAACTATATATAGTGCACTGCTTTTTTTTTTTTTTTCAAGAAAATCAATACTCGTTAGATATTTTTTTAGTTCCTCCATTTTATATCACTGTTGTTTGAAAAGTTCTAAAATGAAACTTCTAAACTGAAAATTCTGTCATTATTTACTCACATCATTTCCAGCCCATATGCTTTTTTGGTGGAACTCTAAAGAATCCCTATTTTTTAAATCATGAAACAAATCGAATCCGTATGATCCGTATGATGCAATTAAATCAAATAAGGCACAGGTTAGACTTTATGGAAAAAGAACCAAAGGTGTTTGTTGTTATATTTGGCATTAATTGTTTGTCTTGGGAGTGAGGATCAATTTAACTTTTAATTTAGGTCCTTTAAATTTAGGTCTCTTTAGGACAATCAAGGTTGTTATTGCCTAAATAAAACGATATAAAAAATCAACTATTAAAATAAAGCTGAAATAAATCAAATAATATAAATATGAGATGAAAAAAAAAATGATGTACTAAAATTACTAAAACTAAAAGAAACATAAAAAAACAAAGACTAATAAAAATGACAAGCAGATAAAATTCTATCAATATTAATAAATACTATATTAGTATATACACAATAATAATACATAATAACACTGCTTAGTATACAGTGCATAAGCTGTACAGAGCACGTTTTTGTTGTTAGCTTGGCTGAATGACATGAAAATTCTTACGAATTCTCCTTTTGTGGAATAAATAATGCTCTTAATATTTGGAATGACATGAGGGTGGGGGAAAAAAATTCCCTTTAAACATGAATCATGAATAAGCAATAAAAAAGAAAGGTGAGGATGAACAGGTGGTGGCAGCACTGACCTTTGCTGTGATTTGTTGGAGAGAGGTTGGACAATTTCCATAGGAGTCGTCTTTCCTCTGTGTTCCTAAATAAAACAGGTTCTCTTCATCTATCAGCTCTTACATCACATATTCACTTCATTTTCTTCCCAGTACTGTATTATTAATGTAAGTGATTCACACACACTGCTTCTCACCAGGAAGCGGGCGGCTGGCACTGCAGGTCGGTGGCGGTGTGATCGAGGGGCAGCAGCGCTTGTACGGAGGTCAGCTGGGTGGCGGGGGCGGTTGCGGGACAGCAGTGGTAATCCAGAGACACACGGGTCACTGTTCCACTGCGCTGACACTCGGCCGACAGCAGGAGGGGCGCACGACCCGGATCCTGAGAGGACGCCTAGGACAGAGTTCATTCAAATGCTCAGATTCACATTTTCTAAGATGTCATCCGTAAAAGGAATATTCTGAGTCCAATGCAAGTTAAGCCCAGTCAACAGAAAAGAATAAGAAAATATCATTTAGACTTCATTTAGTCCAATTTCTTTCCAGGGCACAAATAATGGAAGAAATTAGGGCCAATTTAGGGAGGATTTAAAAGCAGAAATGTGAATCTTATAATTTTATACAAGCATGCACAGTGTTTATACCATTTTATACAATGTTAAAAATTTTATACAAGCACTTCTACACTTTAGGGTTGGTAAGATTGTTAATGTTTTTGAGGTTGAAGTCTCTTATGCTCACCAAGGCTGCATTTATTTGATCAAAATTCAGTAAAAATGACAATATTGTGAGTTTTAACTTTTTTTTAAACAATGTAAGTCTTTGTCACTTAAGATCAATTTAATATGGAAGCCCGTTTCCGCCACTGAATAAAAAATAAAACAAGGTAATTGCGACTTTTATCTCACAATTCTGACTTTTTTTTCTCAGAATTACAAGTTCATATCTTGCAATTCTGACTTTATAACACGCAATTGCAAGTTATAAAGTCAGAATTGCGAGATATAAAGTCGCAACTGAGTTTATATCTCGCAATTCTGACTTTCTTTTTTTCTCACAATTGCGAGTTCATATCTCGCAATTATGACTTTATTTCTCAGAATTGCGAGTTATAAAGTCAGAATTGTGAGATATAAACTCGCAATTCTGAGAAAAAATGTCAGAATTGCGAGTTTATATCTCTATTCTGACTTTATAACTCGCAATTTTGACTTTATAACTCGCAATTGCGAGTTTATTTCACACAATTCTGAGAAAAAAAGTCAGAATTGTGAGATAGAAAGTCGCAATTACCTTGTTTTATTTTTTATTTAGTGGCGGAAACGGGCTTCCATAATTTAATGCATCCTTGCTGAATAAAAGTATTAATTGCTGAAAAGAAGAAGAAAAAAATCTTAGTAAACCCAAACTTTGGAACAATAGTTTACACTAATTCTTCAGTTACTTCAACCTTATTTGAGCTGTAAAGCTGTTTAAATAATCATTTTTATAGTCATTTAGGGTTTATGGTGTTATAGCAAAAAAAATGATTGACTAAAACTTTGCAAAGAAATGGTATGCGAGCACTACTAAAACAATATTTAACATTTACAGATTGCCCTCAATCACAGTAACCAAGGTTTTTGCTTTTTTTTTTTTCAGGGCCAAGGAGTGAAAATGAATTTTGGTGGCATGTTTTATTCCATGTTGTACTGAACATGTATATAAGTCATGTCATATTGTAATTCAAGCACTCATTAGGTTTGTGTTGACTGACCTGGTATTTCAGAAGAGCCACATTGTAATAGGAGGCCTGCGGGTTGAGCTCTGCCTCTCTCTGCAGGTGGAGTGTCAAGGCCGGCATGTTGAACCAGAAATCCTTGGTGTCCGGGTCACTCTGTGACGGGTCGCTGCAGGTACAAAGACCAAAGATGCTGTCCATAGAGCTTGTATTGAGCCCAGTCCAGGTCAGGTTTAGTGTTCAAGAGCATCATACCTGTAGAGTAACTTCTGGTTGGGTAAGAAGTGGTCCACTCGAGAGATGTTCACCAATCTGAAGCTTAATACTGGTGCGTTGGGGTTGGCGGTGAAAATGCGAATGATGCCAGCAGGAAAAGACATAGTGAGGTCGCCGGTGATCTTAACCAGACAGCTGAAACACAGACACGCAGTGAATCACTTTAAGTTGGAGCTACAGTGTGATAAAAGGCTTTGTCCTCCAGATGGGGTGAAAGAAGCTCAGACGGACCGGTTGTGTTCTCCTCCTTTGAAGTAGGCGTTGATGTACTCTGTGATGGCTGCGGCTACAGGCCAAGACTCCTGAGTGCTCAGAGAAATGGGACTGGGCCCTCGAGACAAACCTGCAGGATCACAATTCAACATTATGATTAGAAATGGCCAAAAACATTTCAAAAACTATTTTCCTAAAACTGCTAATTAAGACAAAAACTTGTGACGTATTACACTTCAAAACTTCATTTGCCGCTGTCAGTTCTGGGATTTTGTGGAACGTGGATAAATAAATGAATCAGCAATTGAATACCACATAGGGCTTGGGAGATGCTTCCTCTATATTAGATCCATGCCTGTGGGCTATTGGACAAAATCAGTCATGGCAAAATAGTGTTGAGGACATTTCCTGACTGTCCCCTCCGTAAATGTGCTTATGTCTACATTGGATTAGCATAATAAAATTACAGCAAAGCTCCTCGGGCTGTATCTCAGCGTAATTTATGATTAAGTTCTGTGATAATGTGGGTGGTTAGGGAAATAGGAGTGTCTCGGGTCACCTCGGGCTGGGCTGGGACCGCGGTTCTGCGCCCCCCATTCGCTGGGGCTGGAGGAGGATGAGGAGGTGAGGGGGGGACTGGGTTCAGGCAGAGGAGACGAGCACAGGGACCTAGACTGAGACACAACACAGAAAAAGGGCCAAAATCTAATTTTTTTGATTTACGGTACTTTCTGCAGTGTGCTACAGTGTAGAATGCTATACTAAAATGAAATTATAATTTATACAGTACAACATTCTTAATATAAACATTTACAATATTTTATCTTCTTTTTTTTTTTTGAATTTATATATATTTTTATAATTATTATACATGCAGTTTTATTTCCTCATATTAATTGGAAGACAAAATATATATTTTGAATTTTAATTTAAAAAAAAAATTTGAACAGTAAAAAGCATGATTATTAAATAAAATAAAGTAAAATACAATAAAAAAAAAAAAATTTAAAAAAAACTTATGGTGAAAAAAAATGAAGACCGGACATTTCACTGGAAATTATACACTTCCCCTTATTCCCTTACTTCCCCCATACATTTTAAACTAATACAACATTGATGTTGGAACTCTCTATTTTGAATTTATGTTCTCCTTTCTACTGTGTGTGGATGGAAAACTTGTGTTTTGGGGCTGAACAAATTGCCAGAGGCCTGTTTCTATGTACTGTGATATTATTTGTTACCTTACAGTATAAAGCAAATAAAAGCTTGATGTGGAATCTCAATAGTGGTGTTAATTTAGAGCTGAAGTCAAGGGAGCAATCTGAAGGACCACATGAAAGAAAGCGCATCTCATAAAACAAGAGATGAATGAAGGAGGCTGCAGCAGAGGGATTTGTTTATAAGGTTTTAAAGAAGCTTAAGTGTGCTGGTTGGATAGTTGGTGTAATAAGGTCTGTGGAGCATTTACCCGCTCACAGCCACTGAGTCTGCCTGAGGAGCGCTTGGACCGAACCGACCGAGGGGGAGCCAGTGCCAGACGCTCAGAGCTGTCCTGCCTGAAACCATGCTGGGAGACTGAGAGAAAGAGAGAGAGAGAAAGACAAGAGGGAAGATAAAGAACCCAAATATGATAGTTCTGTCATAATTTCTTCACCCTCATGTTATTCCAAACACAACTGACTTTTTTTCCATGGAACAAAACAATCTGAAGAATATCTTGGCCACGTTTTTCAATATAATAAATGTAAAAGAGCACCATAAAAGTGGCCTATATGCTATTTTTAAGTCTTCAGAAAATTCACTGAAAATCTTGACATTTGCCTATCCATGCGAAAGGTAGAAATGTCTGATTCATAATTACTTGTATTTCTGAGTTGGAAACAAATAATTAAATTGCTCTGAAGGATTCATTCATGCATCAAATGGATTTTGCTAATGGATACATTTTGTGTGTGTGGTTCAAGTCTATGTTATGGGGACAAAATGTCCCCACAAAGATGACAATATCCAAAATCCTTGTCCTTGTGGGGACATTTTTGGTCCCCATGAGGAAGCAAGCTTATAAATCAAATAGAATTAAGTTTTTTGAAAATCTAAAAATTCAGAAAGTTTCCTGCGAGGGGTAGGTTTTAGATGTAGGGTTAGGGTAAGGGGATAGAAAATACAGTTTGTACAGTATAAAAACGATTATGTCTTATGTCCCCATAAAACATGGAAACCAAACTCGTGTGTGTGTGTGTGTGTGTGTGTGTGGATTTTGAGTTAACATTGTTGAAACAAATTCACTTCCACTGCAAAGTTTGGGGTCAGTAAGATTTTTTTAAAGGATTTAATACTAAATAAATAAGCAATTTATTACTGATTTATTGTGGTTTCTGCAAAAATACTAAGCAGCACAACTGTTTCTTGAACACCAAATCAGAACGATTTCTGAAGGATCATGTGACACTGAAGACTGGAGTAATGTATGCTGAAAACTCAGCTTTGCCATCAGAGGAATAAAATACATTTTGAAATATATTTAAAAAATGAATTCATTGTAATAACATTTCACAATATTATGTTTTTTTTTACTGTATTTTGAATCAAATACAGTAAATGCAGCCTGGGTGAGCACAGGAGACATCTTTGTAAAACATTTAAAGATCTTACCAAACTTTTGAGCTGTAGTGTATGTTTATGTTTTCTGTCATCATTAAACTGTATTACACCGTGGATCCAAAAAACAATTAGACACTTTTGGGCAAATAAAAAATATCAAATTATGTGGCATCTCCAATCAAACACTGCGGAAAACATTTGCTCAATATTTTGCAATGACCTAGGTGTGCTAGCAGAGCAACCACAGTGTATAGCTCATCATATTAACTACGACTATGTTTCTCTAATGACTGACAACCTGAAAATGTTTCATCTCTATTCGGAGTAAAATATTTAAGCTTCTTTTTGAAAAATGTTTCGCTTGAAAGATGTGCTTGTGCTGCATTTTTTATAATAAATGGCTTTTTTTAAGTAAGGGGTAATTGTGTCTACATGTTTTGATGCCATTGTATATTGGCATTATATTGTCCACTAAACACCATATTAGTCATACATTAGTCCATATAATACCTGGTTGTGTGTTAACATCCAGGAAGTTCTGGTCCTTGTCTGTAGAGAAGCAGAGGTCCTCCTGTGGCCCAGAATGCCGTGTGAGCGGCGGTCCGTTCCTACGAGGCTCGTCATTAAAAGATCTCTGTTTTCTGGTGGACTCCTGTTTGACAGTGTTATTTGTAGTGCCCTCACTGAAAGGGTTATGCACCGAGTTCCAGTGCACCAGCTCTTTCTTCGGCTGAGAACTGGGGGCGGGGTTAGGACTGGGCGTCGCCTATTACTACTGGCTCTGCCTTCCGCCAGCGACGATTGGTGCGTTGGACTACCGATCATAGTAATAGCGAATGGATCATCTGGGGACTCTGGAGGTGGGACGCTACGTTCTCTCTTTCGGTCTCGGTCTTTGCGAGAGGAGGATGGGGGAGGGAGGGTTTTAGTGTCATTCAGAGAGATGGAAAAGGGATCGGTGCGGCCTTCCATGCCCCTGCCGTCCCTGGTGGGCCGAGGGGGAGGCGGGGCCCAGGCATCAGGTGGAGGCAGGTTGTCTTTGGGGGCGGAGCATTCGAAAGCATCCAGGAAGGGGTCTTCTGGAGGAATGTGTTTACAGCTCCACACAGAGGGCTCCAGTTCTGAAGATGCCAGGTTGTGGGAGAAGGCCGGGAAGCTGAAGGTGGTGGGCTCGACGTCGGTTGGGGCACATGGAGAACGTAGATTGGAAGGCCAGGCATTTGTGGCGCCGTCCTGCGGAAGAGGAGATCGACCGGGGGAGGGGTCGCGAAACGCAGCGAGGAAGGGGTCAGACGATCGGCTCAAGTTTACAGAGTCTTTAGATTGAGATTGAGTGGATGGCCAGGCTGCCCAACCGGTGGGCTCTGGGGAAGCCCCAAGGGGCTGATGGGAAGGGGAATCCAGTCCGGAATCCTCCACATTCTCAGGAGAGGATGAATCAGAAGAGAATGCTGCATCTGTCAAACATAAAGAAAAGTCTATTACTGATCAGAACAGAAACTTCTTTAAAAAAGCAACAGTTTTGATGAGGAAAAGGCTGACTGCAGAAACATAATTCACAATCCACTTTGCTCCATAATTCAATAATTCCTGCTTTAACGCCTACACAAGCAGTTCTGACAAAGCGAGTCAATTAATTCTTAGAATATGGTAATGCACACTTTGGCACACATTAGGCTAGTTTAAAGCTTTTAATTCTCCGTTTTCTAAAACGCTCTAAGAGGATAGCTTGTCCAGTCGATTCTCATCTCTCACGGTAATGTGGTCGGGGGTGGTGTGCTGCTGGAGATTTACATTCAGACGCAGCAAAGGCGTTCTGGAGCTGCTCTCTGCCAGCAAAGCTGTGGGACTTAAAGGTCGACTCCAGAGGAGGTCCAAACAAAGCGTCCGAACCGGATGCTGTGGAGATCAGCCTGCAGAGATGAGAGGAGGAAAACTGAATGGGTGAAGAAGTGAACGTAGGAGAAACTGAGGACATTAAAATGCAGAATTAATAACTGAAATAAAAGAAACAATATTTATATTATTTAAATTCAAACTAGTGTTCAAAAAGTTTGTGGTCTGTAAGATTTTCTTTACAGAAAATTAATACTTTTATTGAGCAAGGAAGCATTGGATCACAGTTTCCACAAATGCATTAATACATTAATTAGCAAACGTTTTCAACACTGTTGCTAATAATAAACAATGTTTCTTGAGCACTAAATCAGCATATTTGAAAGATTTCTGAAGAATCATGTGACACTGAAGCCTAGAATAATAGCTGCTGAAATTTCAGCTTTGCTATTATGTGAATATTTTAAAATATACTGAAATATAAAATAGTTATTTTAAATTGCAGTGGTATTTCACAATATTACTGTTTTACTGTACATTTGATCAAATAAATGCAGCTTTGGTGAGCATAAGAATCTACTTTTAAAAACATCAAAAATATTACAGACTGCAAACTTTTAAGCGGTAGTGTTTATAATCTAAATAACCTAATAAAGATGACTGTATATCTAAATAACATAAATAACCTTTAAAATATTCTAATCTGTATACTTTAAATAATCTAATAAAATATTGTTTAATTGAAATAATTTGTAAAAGTATTCAATTCAATTAAAATATTAATTGATTAAATTTAGAATTTGTATTTATTTATTAAACTGCATTTTTGTTCAGTTTGTCTTAACAACATGTATACTTCTGGCTCAACCAATGGTGTGAGGGGGTGTTTGGGGTGAGACCAACATTCAGCATTTGGCATTTATGCATTTAGTGCCAAAAAATTAAACACTTCACCTTTAAATCTGCATTTTTGGAAAAATCTCTCTGTACCTGCTGTGATCTGGGCTGGACGTGGATCTGCGCAGACCCTCCTGTTCTCCATCTGTAGAACAACAAAACATTACCCTACTGTGCAATATAACAATATCATACAATAACAAAGTAAGGGGTCATTTAGCAGATGTTTTATCCAATTATAGGGATTCTCCATGAAGAAACATTATGTTAAATGCCTTTCTCATGGCCACAATTGTGATAGTTCATGATTTGGTAACCAGCCTAGATCTGCGACCATTATACCACACCCATAATACATAACGCATAGCATATAATAGCACAGTATAATATTACTGAATTAAAAAAATCTCACAAAATTATTCAAACCATGTACTAACAAAATAGTACCATTAATCTATGTGACAAATGTCTGCAATTAAGCAATTTGAGTAATAGTGAGCCTGGGAGGAAGACAGCCTAAAACCATTTTCTTCAAACCACTTACACACACCAAATGGTTTCCACTTTTGCTATTTTTGTCAAAACCCACGATACAAAAGTAGAGCTCATTCTGAGACTGTAATTACAGCAATTCAGCTGACCTGAGATCAGGCTGTCAGTATAAGGCAATAATGACAGCGCAGTTATGACACTGATCCCAGGTCAGCTGGACGGCAGATTGCTGTGATTAAGGTGTCAGATGCAGCTTGTGGGATAATGGCATCTATTAATGTGGACAGAGGAGGAGGTGGGACATTGTGTGTGTAACTGTGGCCATTTGAGATGGCTTGTTGAAATTAGTTGCAGGAACAATGCACGAGAACTGAAAAGTTACAGAAGTAGAGAAGTGGACGTCTGCAGAGTGTGACCGACCTCTCTGGGGAACACTTTCCCCTTCCCCTTCAGATCGACCTGCTGAACTGGAGTTTCCTGTAATGGAGAAATGGGACACATGAAAAATATTCACACTAACATAATACATAAGTAACATAACATAATATACATAATACAATATAGTCTGAGATAAAGAGGGAAATACAAGTTAACTTACTCGAGAGCTGCTTCTTTACTGACACCTACAGAATGGGATGAATGAAAGGAAGAGTCATAAAAAATACAATTGAATCAATGTTTTGCACCATATTTTTAACGACACCTTTAATATGAGAGAGTATATTGCAAAAATGCACACATTTTTTAGGTTTTGCAGTATCTTCTTTATTTTTCTAACCAACCAATATAACAGCAGTCATGGACTTTATTCTCTTGCCATTGAGTAATCGCTTTGTTTTAATGTACTGTTTATGTGTGGATTTTCTGAATAAACTAGACATAGATACACTAGACAAAAAACACAATTTTTCAAAGATTTGATTACACTAAAAACCGAAGCCTTTGGCAAATACAGTCATTTGTTTTTGCTCAAGAGCGCATTTAGCAGTCTGGTACCTTGCAAACATGACTTTGTTTACAGACAAACTAGTAAAATCCTGGCTCACGGAAGTTGCAACCAATCAGATTAGGGCTGTTTAGTTAGTCTGTTTATTTGTTTAGTTCATCTGTTTATTCATTCATTCTGAAACTAAAATGTCAAATAATGGGAGAATAGCGAGACAATGCGAGTATTATTTGACTAGTCTTGTGATCTCAGCATGTAGAATAAAACAGATTTATATATAGTTGCATCAGTCTCATTTTAGCTATTAAAGATTAAACACCCCCCACATCTTACCGCTCTGTTAGGGGGCAGGGTCAACGCCCCCACCGTGGCCTTCAGCTCCAGTTCATTGGCTGCTGAGTTGCTACGGTTACTGCTGGCAACCGGTCGGATCTTGATGTGAAACTTCTTGGGCTCATCATCATCGAAATCCGAGTCGCTGGAGTAAAAATTTCCCTCCTTCTCCTCAGCAGCACAACGTAGAGAGCAATGCAGTTAAGGAGCAAATCCAGACACGATGCAGGATACGTATGTATTCGCACACAGGTACAAAGAAAACCCACACGGACACACATAGACATGAGTGCAAACACTCACACAAACACAGCTGTTCTGAACAGTCTACAAACTGTGATGAGGTGCAAAAATAACCATCCTATGTGGGAAGGCTACTGAGTTTCATATCCTTAAACACCCTTCATGATGAACTTAAATTCTCAGGAACCTAAGAATGACAACAGATCTTCATCACAGGGTATTTGGGGAGAAATTGTTATTGGAAAGTAGACGGCATATCCATCACTGTCCATTATCAAACAATAGAAGTGTCTCTATTTGACATCCTGCCTTATCAAACCACACTTCCTGACAATAACTTCCTTTATATCTGTATGAGATACTTTTGATGGTGTGAAGACAGTATTGCAGAAAATAATAAGAAGAAGCAAACAAAGGCGGCAAATAAATCCCTCTCCTCTCCCTCTGTTTTAGACCATGTGGATGATCTACGAGAGTAAAAACAAGTTTTGGCAAAATCGTTTGTTGTAGTGCTGAGGATATACTTCTCAATCCTCAAATATCTACAGTAGGGTTCAAAAGCCTGAGGCCAAGTTGAAAATCAACCTGAAAATAAACGTTAGGATTTCAGAAAGCTTTAGAATTTTGAATCGTTTAAAATAAAATCTTATGACATAAATGAAAAATCTTCAAGATTCTATTCCTAGGTCATTAATCAAATAAGCAGACTAGTGACTTTTGTACAGAAGTTTTGTACAAGATGCTATTTTGATGATTGTCAAATCATGCTGGATCATATGATTATCAGGTTTTACACAAACTTGTGGAGGGAATGAAGCTTGAGTCCAGCTGTCATCACAGCAAAAGAGAGTCAAACCGAATTCCAAGACATTTTGAAATTCATATCAATTTCATGTTAAACTGTTATGCTGATAATATAACTGTATTAAAATGAATTGAAGCTAGCAATCTCAGACTGTATGTACATACACAGTTCTGCACACACACACTGTATACTCTCACTGAATGCACTCCTGACAGCTTATTCTGAAGGATATCATTCTGGTTGACATCTGCCCGTATCACAAAGCCTTCGTCGTCCACTTCGAGTGGCGAGTTCTACACATAAGCACAAGCTCACAATAAGAAACAACATTTAAAGGCACAGGACATCAGAAAAGAGTGCCGATGTTTTAGAGAGTTAGTAGCGGCCTGAAGCCTGTAACACGTGTGTGTTTCTGAAGGATTTTGGCAGTCAGTGGGCTATCAGACATTCATTAAACACCCTGAGTATTGCCAAGGTTAAATATAGCTTAATGAGGTATCCAGACCTTGCCAAACACGTTACTCTCTCTTGCATAGCGTATACACACAGAAGTCTGTGTAGAAAGAGTCTGCCTTCTGTGTACAGTATGTTTCTGTTTACTTCTGGAGGAGAGTTTACTTAGCTATTTTTAAGGACAAATTTGTCCTCAGAAGTTTACAAAAACCTCTCCAAAACAAGTATACAGAACGATGTTACTGGTTCTGGAACTGGTTCTTTTGAGTGGATCAAATAAGTTCAGCATAATCAGTGCAGTTCGATTCAACAACAAACAAATATAAGCCAGTTCTGTTGATGAATCATTCCAAAGACTCCCAGGTTTAGGAGTTACAGGTTTGAATCAGTCTAATGAATCCATCACTGAATCAGAGCATTTAATCAACATCTGACTCACTCATCGAATCGCAAATTAGCATTACTTTTAGTGATGTCCATATTAAAATTAAATGAAATTGTTCATATGAAAAATGCAATTAACATTTTTGGAATAAATTATATTCCAATAAATAAAATATAAGTACATCTCTGGCTTCGAGATGTTCTCACTTGTATAGGGTCTATGGTCTACGAACATATCTGTGTTAGTAAACTAACAACTGGTTTGAGATAAGATGGTCTAAAAAGAGTCACAGAAGTTTAATCAAGAACAGCTGATGATACAAGACCAGTAACCGCACACACACACGCACATAATCACCTGTTCTCTGTGTAAAATCAATTCAGCAAAGTGAGAGTGTGTGTGCGTGTGCGTGTTATGGGAACTCACAAGTGCATCTGCCACAGCTGAATCCCTAGAGGACAAAAACAGAAGAGGTATGAAAATCCATACAGTATATAAGAAGAATTGGTCATTTTGATTGACCTCCTGATCTAGAACATTAAAGGGATAGTTCACCCAAAAATGAAAATTCTGTCATTAATTACTCAACCTCATGTCGTTCCAAACCTTGTGTTGCTGTCTATGCAGGGTCAGAAAGCTCTCCAATTTCATCAAAAATATCTTCATTTGTGTTCCGAAGATGAACCAAACTCTTACAGGTTTGGAACATCATGAGGGTGAGTAATTAATGACAGAATTTTCATTTTAGGGTGAACTATCCCTTTAAATGTGTTGTGTTTCATATGATTGCATGACTCACGTTGAATCTGGTTCCTTGTCTTTCTTTCCCAGTCCAGGGATCCTGAAGGCTTTAGCACGACTCTTTTTACTGTTCTCAGATACTAGTGGGGACAGGTATTCCTCGAACCCTACTGGACCTTATCCACACAAACACACACACACACACAGACACACAAACAGTAGTTTAAGGAAGGTTCGGAGATGTGCGGTACCATTTGAAAGCACAATATGACAAATTATAAAACCTTGTATTTTGCAGAAGAATGATTTTCAATGCATTGCTATCCAATAAAACAGAAATGCAATTTCTGGGGAAATCAGAAAGTGTTATATCTTTCTGTGACTCACCGGGTCTCTCCTTTCCTGTTCCCTTCTGCTCTGTAAACTTCTGAATGAGGTTCTCAATGCCAATGTTCTCCACGTTCTGCTTGAATTCCTCATGGACCTGAAGGAGACAGAACAAAGATTTTTTTATCAAGCACAGCTAATCGAGACCACATTGGGGTACAGGGGTAATTCGTCTGAACAGTTTTCAGCACAATTACAGGATGCAAACAGAATATAGGAGTAGGTAAAATCTCCGGAGTGAGCCGTACCTGCCCAACCTGTACGTGTGTGTCTTCAATGGAGTGTGAATACGCTTTGATCAGTAGTTTCATCTGACGTAAATGAGCCTCCTCAATGTCCTGAAATTTCTGCAGATGTAGAAGGACAAATGTAAAGAGAAGCTACTGACCAATAGTGAACCGATAGACCGATAGTTTAAAAGTTTGGTGTCGGTAAGACTTTTAAAATGTTTTTCTCTTATTCTCACCAAGGCTGCATTTATTCACCAGATATTTTGATAACAATGTAAAAATCTTTATTTTTTTCCTCAATTTTATGCATTATTGATTAATAAAAGTATCATCTTCTCAAACTTCTGAACAGTAGTGTATATTGTGAATATTTACAATATGGTATGGCCTCAACCTTCTTATTGCTTTAGGGTTAGAAAAACAGATATGATATATCTTTTAAAGTCAGTTAAGTTGTAAAACACAAGTTTATGTTATAAAATAATTAGAATACTTCACTGCCTACTTTTAGTCATTATCACCAGGTATTAATGAAAGCATTTTTAAGCAAAATTAAGCCAAAAATCTATATTGGCAAAAATCAATATTTGACCTTTTATGAGCTACATTTTTTTACATTTTGTAATTTTTAGGATTGTTTAGATAATCCTATTTGGAATTATTAACAACAGAAATTGAAAAAAATTAGGGCTATTCCACTGAATACATGTGGGAAAAATACATGTGCAAAATATGGATATTTTCTGACATTGATGACAATTCAAGAGATGGAGCTGAAAAGCATTTTATTAGACTGCACACGCATATTTGCAACTTTTATTTGGGATCTTAGTAAATCAAGACCTGATATTTGAACTTTTGCAGAACTTTTTCTATAGTATTAAGCCTCAAATGTCAACTAAACATCGGATTGGTTTCTTCTTTAAATTATAAAAAAGTAAAAATATGAATGGTATTATAATGTTATACTAAAACTAATATTAAAATAATGGGAAAAACCCTTAAGATAACATGTAGAAAGAAAAAAACGCATCTTAAGCATGCAGAATAACATAAGTGGACTTTGAACGATTACATAATTGTGGCATCCATAATTGTAATCGCGATTAGAAATTCGATTAATTGTGCAGCCCTAGTGGTCAGCCTCTATAATTTAAAGATAATTGTTGATGCCCTAATTGAGGGATATCACGACTCAGTTGGTCTCAGAGTGATGTCAGGACTCTTACATTTGACTGATTCATCCTTTCTTTGCTCTCAAATGATTCATACTTGCAGGTCGACACCAGGCAGAAATAGACTGTAGGTATGTAATCATTTTGTCAAACAGACTGCTTTAATGGCCCTTGTAGCCATGGTAACTTTAAACTGCTTCATTAAGCTCATTGTAATACTGTAAAATTTGCTCTGAAGGTCTAGATTATGAGAACAAGTGAACTAATCCCCTTTTTAAAAATGTTTCACATATGTGACTATGGTCTGCGCTTATGCCCTTAGCAGGGCTGGAAAAAACCCTGAAAATCACCAACCTGTGCTGATTCACTCATTTTCTGTTCAAAGTCTCTTCCAGCACGGTTAAACTTCTCAATAGACCCTGCAAAAGACTCAGCTGCCTTCTTAGATTTCAGCTCAGCCTGAGAAAAGAGAAAGAGACAGATGTATATATGAAGGAAAGTCAGAAATTAATTATTTTTATTTTTTTTAAGATCATAAAAACAGAACGAAGGCTACCAGCTTAAAAGTTTAGTTCAAACAAAAATGAAAATGCTGCCCTCATGTCAATCTAATCTAGTATGACTTTCTTCTTTCTTTCTGAAAAAACATTGGCCTGTGTCTATAGGGGCTTTCGCACTGAGTAGTTCTAGGAACTAGCCATAATGGTGGTTCCTAGAGAACCAATTTCCCCCTCGTGCCATTTTTCTGGTTGCATTCGCACCGGCGGCAGGAACTCAGAAGCGGCTGACACCAAAGTCTTTATTCAAGGCATTTACAAACATCAACAATTGTTGAATAGAGCACACCGTGATCGGAGCTGTTTTTGTTGTGTGTCGTCATTTTCGTGATAACGGAGATGGAATGTAAACGCACAATTTGCGCGATTGAAAGAACATGAAAATCTGACTAAATCTCCTGTGACAACTTGCAGTGTTACATATCATCGAGGCTGAGCAAAGAACACAACACTGCAGACAACTGGTAAATACTGTTATCGCTGTTTTTCATGGCTTTTTAAAAATGCCAGGTAGTGGTGTTTCGTATGCGTTTGGCCGATCAGCGTAAACTTACGTCAGATCATATTTTGATGTAGGAGCTAAATTAGTTTGCCCAAACAGAGTTCCTAGAACTAAATACGTTCCTAGTTCCTGCGCTGCGAACACACCAAAAAGTGGGTACTTCCGCCAGAGTTCTAGGAACTATGAAAAGTTTCCTCTGGTGCGAAAGCACCTATTGGTGCGGTTAAGAGAAAAGTAGTCATGGCTGCTTCGTTAACAAACTGTTCTTATGAATCCGTTTTAATGAATCAGCTGGCATGGTTCACAACTCTGGTTCCCAAGTCCAACTGGTCATTTTATCTGTGAATAACCTGAATTTTGTCTCTTTGTCACGCAAAACTATCATGATTTGGAATGTAGCCACAAATTGCATAGACTACTTTCATGTTACTTCTATTGTGCTTCTGTGTCCTTTTTGAGGTTTACAATGACATGAGGGTGTGCAAATGATGACAGAATTGAAATTTTCGGACTTTAATGTCTTCTCTCTCAAACACACAAACACCTTTTCCAGCTCTTTCTGAGGCACTCCTTCTTTGCGCAGTCTCTCCAACTCTGTACACTTGCTGTGATAGCCTTCTCTGGCCTTCTGCAGGTGGCCGTTCTGCACCTGAAGAGACTGCACTGACTCCAGAGTCCCGATCACTTCCTCTTTTGTCTACATAAGACACAGCAGATTTAAATACACAACAGATATTAAGCACAAATTTAGAACCTAATGCGCTTGTTCTGAAGTACTGCAGGGGATCGGAAACTGTGGTGTACGCTTAATGAAAAACAAAATAGCAATGCACAATTATGGGTACAAAAGCCAGTTATCAGAGAAATAGGCAGAAATTCAATCAGGCTAAAAGCCCTTTATTTACCTTGCGGTGAATTTTGACCTGCTCCTCACTGTACTTGTTGATGTCACGAATGAGGTCGTTCATCTTCTTCATGAGCTCCAGGTGGCAGAGGGCCAGTTTGTCCGAGGACACGCGAAACACGTCCCACATGGGGGCGAACGTGCTGGGGGGAAAAGCAGGTGGTTAGATGCTGATGTATGGAAGTGCGTAAGCCACTCTGATTTCTTACAGCACAGCAGTATTAGAAAAACAACAGGCTTCCTTGCCTTTGTAAGTCTACTTCTCCTAACTCCCAAGGACACCCCAAAACAAAGTTTGTAGGAAAAAAATAAAGTTATGTTTCTGTTAGCTTTGTGTTTGTGCTCTTAATTCGTTATTAAATTTGGCTCTATGCCCACTTTGCATCACTGCAAAGTCTGTTTTTACAGTGTTAAAGCACTGTGTGATTGTTTTGTGACAACTAGCGCATGCTTGTGCAGACAGGAAGTGAGGTGAAGAGAGCAGAGGAAAGAGCTAACCATAGCTACGACTTTTCGACCAATTGCACACAACCGCACGTACTCGCACACACAAAAATACACACATACAATCTTCTTGAATATCCCTGCTGATAAGTATCTATAAGTCAGCAGCAGACCAAATTTAGCAAGAGAAAACCTTTTTATGTTTTGTTCTTCTCCAGATGGCAAAATCAGATGCCAGTAGTGATTTTCAACACAATAACTTTAAGTCCAATATTTTTACCTACTCTGGTCAACCAAGCCTGTAAAATGTCAAAATCCTAATCTCATAATAACAGGAATAATGTCACTCACCCGAGAGGGCTTCCATTGCTAGCCATCTTAGCGAGCTTGCTCATGGATTTTGAGTAAGTCTCCTCAATAGCTGCCCTTCAATGCAAAGACAAACACACACACACACACACACACACACGCACAGATTGTCAGTAGGTAATGGATTCGCGTATAAACACAAAAGCAAATATACTTTCACATTAAAGTGATTTAGCACCAACATTAATGCCTCAAAGGTCACAAACAGTTCTTCAATGCAAGTTGCAAAGCGTTTATATTCATAATGGTGCACACACTACATTTGAGAAGAAAAAAATGTATGTGAGGTAGAACGCTTACAAAAAATTAAGCAAAGTCTATACCCAAATGTCATAGTTATTACAGTTTTTCTTTTTTTCAATAAGAGTGTGGTAACTTAATATTAGCCATGAGTAAATAATAATAAATTATTATCTTAGATTGTTTGAAACTATTGAATGGTTTTGAATATGGTACGTATTTGTAAGTGACCTACAAAAAAAGCAACCATCAGCCATCAGGACAAAAACTCCCCAAAAAGAGTGAGAAAACACAGTAGTTTTCCATAGGGTCATGGCCAAAGCTGAAAACACCAAATATTTCTTATCAACCACTATGTGATCTGCTTCTCTGATAAGCCTAGCTTTTTTGCTCTGACTTCAGAACATGAGTCTGCTCATGGGAAAAAGGATGTTGTCATTATCATCCCACTGCGCCTAGCTATATTGTTGGCCTTATCTCTTAGAAAACATCTTATTTGATTCTTATGATAGAAATTTTGCTTTCTGTTGGGACAGCACAATGGAAAGTCAAGTCAAATTCTTCAAGGAGCACAGCCACTTTGAGGCACAATGTCCTGAGTGGATGCAAAATGGCCTTTGAAAATTGATTTATGTAATTTATTGCACAAGCTATGCTATTATCAGGGACATATTTTTCTCTCTCAATTTCTCAGCACTCTCCTCCAGGGCTTTCCTGGACGGATTTCTAACATAAAAAAAAATACAATTTAATCCTCCAGTCCATGACAGAGGGTGCCTGCATCCAGCTCCATTATAACGAATAGAAGAAACTATGAAAGTTGGCAGGAGGCTTGGCGGAGCTGTAAGTAGTCTCCATTCTCTCTGTAGAATGAGAGAGTTGTTTTGGAGTTCTCATTTTAATTATTGCAATTAGCTCCAACTCAAATGTCTACTACAGACCAAAGGAATGCTCACACATCCCACATATGCTGTCAGTGGAACGAAATGAAGATCAAGCTTTCTTCATCTGTTTTATACGCTGCATGTTCAGCATTTTCTGACTGCTGAGCTGCCTTGCATTTGTAGACGTGTGCATGAGTGGACAGCGAGCACTTTGTTGACTGCTTTGCTGCTCTCAGATTCGTGTGTCTTGACACTTCAGTGCTGTGTGCTGAAAGACAGAACTGTGGTGTGAAGAAAAGAACCAAAGAGCAAAAAAAAAATCTGAGCAAAAACGATATGCCATACGACAAGAATCAATGGTCACACTATTTTAAGGTTCAATTCTCGTTATTAACAAACCATTAACTATGACTTTTGCCTCAATAAACTACTAATTTACTGCTTATTAATAGTAAGGTATTTGTTAAGTTTAGTTATACATTATATTAGTTAGACATATATTATGTCATGCAGAATATGTGCTTTATAAGTACTAATAAACAGCTAATATGTTATTAATAGGCATGCTAATAAGCAACTAGTTAATAGTTAGAATTGGTCCTTATACTAAAGTCTTACCGAATCAATGATATCAGTTAAGATATAACATTACATTATACTATGTTATGTTGCGTTTGTACTGTAATGTAATATATGATAGAATGTAATAAGATCAAATAAGACAAAACATTGCAATAGTGACATTGCGACAACGTAACGTAACATAACGCAATGTAACATTACATAACATTATACGATAAGATGTAAGACAAAGCATTACACTAACCATATAATATACCATAGCGAAATGTAATGTAACAATAAATAATATGATAAAACAAAACATCACAATGAGGCAATGTAGCATAATGTAATGTAATATTTTACGATAAAATATAAGACAAAACATTACACTAACAACGTAACATACTGTAGGAAAATAAATGTAACATCATATAGTAAGATTAAATAAGACAAACCGCAATATAGTATAATGTAACATACGTACCTTAATATAATATTTTCAGATAAGACATAACATTATTTCTGTCAGGACCACTATCGTCAAAGATGATTGACAATTAGCATAGTTTGGATTGGCGGTATGGTTCTGTTCTGGGCAAGAACTCCCTGTGCATCCATGCAGCCTAGCATGGATGAGAGCAGGGAGAGCAGCGATAACCCCCCCAGGGTAAACAGAACAGAACCAACATCAATGTATTGCAGATATCGTTAAAGTTCAATAATTTTATGTACACATTTTAGAATTAGTCTGATTCAAAGGAGAACCAGAAGGCTGAATCCCGACTGACAGAGGAGGAGTTGGGGATGGAGGAGGGTAATTAGCTATTGAGCAATGCGAAAACTGCTGATAATACTGAGGGACCTTATATATGAATGCTTAGATAGGTGTCGTATTCCTATAGGTAGATGGGGATCAGCTGAGAGTCAGCTGATGCGAGCTTGACTAACGTGATCTGCCAGAACTAACGCTACGCTTGATAGTAACGACAAAGTATGGTATGTCATGTAACATTAAACGATAATATGAAATAAGATCAAATAAGACAATAATCAATGTAACAGTGTTATATAACATTCTAAGATAACAAAGAACTTAACATTACAGTAACAAGGAACAGTATAATGCAGCATAATGTTTTTGAAACATTACCATAACACAAACATTCCAACTTTAATTTCACTTTAAAACACGACTGCTGCTGGTGAGTTAGAAACACAAGAAGTGAGGAGTAGAAAAGGAGTAGAAAACAAATTTCACATCACATTCCTGACAGTACCAGTTACACCGTCTCACCCCATCACCATGACGACTCCTCCCAAAACAACACCTCACCTCTCGCGCACGAACTCAGCCAACTCTTTGGCGGCGAGCTGTCCATGCTTCATGTTGTGGTAGAGAACGTCAAAACCTGCATTCTTCTCTCCCTGTGAACAAACAAAAACACCACCATAAGGTACATTCCTGCAGTGTGTGTAAAAATGAAACATCGTCAGAAACAAATAAGTGTTAAGAAAAAAATAGCAAGAGGAACTTGGAAGATTGGACTGTCGACTGTGGGCCGTTGACTACAGCAGGCACAAAATACAGTATGTGCCTGTACAGAATGCCAGCATTTGTAAACAAACATCATCTTCGAAACATATAAGAGATTTTAAAGTCAGAGGGAACTACAAAAAATAAAAAGTAAATAAGTCTAATTTCTCAAGTTATGCTGTGAGCTTTCATGAAACTGATTGAGGTCCAAAACTGGTTCAAACATACAAACTTACTCTAACATCACTGGCTTCCCTTCTCCTTAAAAATGTCTCAAAATCACAGTGCAGTGTGGTATAGTGAAAAGACAACAATAAAAGAATCGCACAGCAGTGTGTGCAAGACATGCCACGTAAGCAAGGAGCACAACACACAGATTTCCTTCAAAGGCCAAGGCCCAGTAGGGAGATCCTCAGATGATAACCTTTGGAACAAAGCAACAGCACATCCTGCGGTCAAAGTTAGCAAGTATAAAAATAGCCCCCTTTCTTTGAGCAAACAGAAAAATGTCAACAAACGAGAGACAGAAAGAGATGACAGAACCAGGGCAGTCGCTGGCCATAAATACCTCCACACCATAGAAAGAACTTCCCAGGTAAAAGAAAAATAGACAAAATTCCTACTATCCAAGGATAAAAACGGGAAGAGCCAAAACATACTACAAAACAAAAGCTGCTTTACTGAAAATGTCACAAATATTGATGACAAGTATATTACTGAAGAAGACAAGTGATGTTCATTTGTGCAGTTTAGCACTCTCCTAAATACTTTTCACTTCGGTCTAAATCGAATCTTTTTAGATGCATGTCACTGAGAAAGTGAACACTTGTGAGCTACAAGTCAACAGCTAGTTATTTATGAAAGTAGAAAATGAATTAGAATTTTGTACATTTGAATTTTAGATGTGACATTTAACAAAGGTGGCATATTTTATACATTTGTGTTTTTAAACAGCAGATTTTATGATGTTCTGAGGAGAAATTAGCTGTAAATATTCAGATTACAAAAAACTGCAGCTCCAAATTTTTATATGAAGAAACTGCAAACTCCAAATTCAAGATTCTAAAATACAAAATTCAGATCATACATAAACTACAAAAAACTGCAGCTTAAATTTTTTATATGAAGAAATTGTGAACTCCAAATTCAAGATTCTAAAATACAAAATTTAGATCATATATAAAATACAAAAAACTCCAGCTTCAATTTTTTAATATGAAGAAATTGTGAACTCCAAATTTAAGATTCTAATATACAAAATTCAGATAATTCATAAAATACAAAAAAAACCCTGCAGCTTCAAGTTTTTATATGAAGAAATTCCAAACTCCATATTGAAGAATCTAAAATACAAAATTCAGGTCATACATAAAAGTAGGTCAAAGGTCAAGCTTTAGTGTTCCACAGGGGAAAGTAGAGGTTATCAGAATAGATTTTGGCCAGTGACAGAGCTGCTACAATGATGTGGTGAAGTACCAAAAAACAACTGAACCAAATCAAGCAATTAAATAGTTTGAAAATTTGCATCAAATGTCGCAATGTCGTGAATGGTTTGGTTAAAAATCCCTATGAAGAAAATAAATGTAAAAATCAATCAGCTGAAAAAGTGGGTTCACTCCTGCATTTTATGAAGTTCTTGTGGCACTGTAGTCAGATTCAGACTAGGGTTTCAGTTACCCATGGACCCTTCTGGTGTTCAATTTCAGTCTTTTATTTGTACATGATCACATAAATTAGCTGTTTAAAGAACTGAGGTTCCAAAATAACAAAACCAGTTGCAACCAACATGTAATTTTAATCTTAAACCAAAATGAAAACAACAGCTGATGTTTGTTGTGTGGCCAGTATGCTTGTTGAAACCTGACCCCTTTGGAAAGCTGATCTCCTATGATTCTCTCTGCTCTGACCACACAGCACAGGTAGAACAGCACCCCTTTTAAAGTGCTCTCTCTCCTCCCTGCCCCGTTCTCTCACTTCCCTCTCTTTTTTTATATGCATGTGATGGTAAACAAGTATCTGGCAAGTAAATTGACAGTCTTTTCCCCCGACACTTCAGTCAGAATTCTGTGCTGAAAGCAAATGGAATGATAGGCCATCTGCTGACACCCAGAGTATTACTGTTCTTTCATAGCTTCATTCCCTGAAGTTAATTTGCAAAGTATACAGCCGTATCTGCCATTCACCTTATCTAACGCGATGCTGCCACAGAGGACGCTTTGTGTTTGAAGAGAGCATGACAGACAGGGAGCGTGAAACAGAACAGCTGCAGTGACATTAAACAGGGCTGCAGGTGTTGAAAGAGAAACTCCAATCCTCTCCGTATTAATGTGTCTCCTACCAAGATAGCGGTTGCTACAGTGACAGGGTTCCCCTGGTAACTGTGAGAGAGTGGGAGACACATGACGGCTCATTCCATAAGGTGACAGGCATACGCGTGTTTCGGGGCTGAAGTACTCCTTTTGTTAAAAACAAGACCCAGTGCTTTTAAAAATTTTTAGTTTGATCTCTCCTCACAGGAAGTGGCACTTGTGAAGGGTGAAAAGCTAGTCTATATACACACAGATGGACATCTTTGGTCACTGTGTTTTGTCCTGTATAGTTTTTTCAGCATCTCAGCAATAGTGGTCAACCGATATTGTTTTTTTGACCAGTCGATGCCGATATCTTGGAAAGCAGGGTGGTCGATGACAGATATAAAGCCGATATAATTTTATTTATTTTAATTAATATTTAAGAAATTTGAAATCGTTTAAAAATGGATTAAAAATAAATTTGTTAAATAAACATACTTATACTTTAGATGACAAAGTATTTTTCACAAATAAATAAATATTTAATAAAAATATAATTAAAAAGGAAGTAAGCACTGTAACCAACAGGGCACTCAGTATTCTGGGAAGTTTGTGTGCATTGGGAATCATATTTTTTCAAATAAAGCCAAAATAACACTCATTTTACATACAGAACACAGTGAAAATGACATGAATTTGGCAGTGGGCAAATGCATAAAGCGCAGCATAATTTAAAATCATGAGTTTAAAGTTTGTCATCTCGCATCTCCAGTGAAGCTGAACTCTCCTCCTGTCCGCATTCAATTCACACGGACCGACCGTCACGCAGAGAACACGCGATCATGCAGGTCACATGCACACTTCACAAGATCTCACAACTGGATTCGAATAAGTTTGCAAGGTT